ATATTTCGTGAAGCGTTCCAAAATTAGCTCCGAGCAACTAAAAGTTGGTTAAGCTTAAATGAAATAGTTTTTTATTAAATATTTATTCCTGGTATTTAGTAAAAAACATCAATACTAATGTATGAAAAACAAAACATCAATGCTAATGTATGAAATGAAGTAAATAAAAATCTACGAATACATTCCATGAATATTTTGTCATAGAGCCATTATTAAATTTAGACATAACTTTGTCAGGCGTTGGTACCTACGTATATAGAATTAATGCGTTGGAGAGAGATAAATATACAAGTTCAACGCGCTAATTTAGGTATCCTTGTATGTATATACCTGTTACTCGTCTGGCATATACTCCAACTGCGAAAATAATGACAATTATAATTTATGTAGATCCCTGGATAAAAGATTGTCACAAGTTACTTTCGGTAACTCACGATTGAAGTTTGGAATGCAATTTCTCAGAAACACGACTACAGATTTTCTCCAAAGTGTCGGAGAATGCTATGTACTAGTTCATGAAATTCTTAAATTATCTTATTTTTTTAGTTTAGTGTCAACCCTTTATGAGTTTAATAAAATTTTGTCGTATACGACATTTGTCAAAAAATTTGCAGTCAGTTTTAGTGATATACGCCAAAATGTGATAACAATTTTTATAAATTAACCATACTTTTTACTAATCAGCCTAATAGTGAGTTTCGCCCGAACAAAATTTCGCCAACAATTTTTTCATCCACCTGTAGTGAACACACGCAAACGAAAAGTGACCCGGTTCTAGAAAATGAAACTCATGATAAAGCTGAATATGTCGGAAACTAAAGAAGAACAGATAACTCTATTTGAAAGATCTTGATTAGATTAGTACGACAGCAATACTAACGCAATTTGTACCAAATAACCGAAAAAATTTTAGTCAATTAGTCGGAAACTAAAGAAGATATCCAAAAACCACAAATTGTCAAAATGACGCTTCCGGCAATTTTCCATCCAGGCGACGATATTTGAATAGGTTTGTATAGTTACCAATAGTCAGTACTAATTTGTACTGGAACCTGCAAACTTTTACTGGAAAAGTGTATGATAACCCAAAAAATTTGCAAGAGAGCACTGAATCGAGAGCGTAACAACACGAGAGAGCTGCAAATTCTTGCTAGTGAAATTTTTACTAGCAGAAATTAGCTAGCAGAAGAAGCAGAAGAATAAATGTCAAAAGAATATATAAAAAGTGGTGTTACTAGCTCAGTTGATTTTGTGTATGTGTTTCGCCGCACGGCTTCTGATCAGTGTTGCCGTTTTGGCCCTTTGGTGGCTAGATTTAGCTACCACATACTTTTTTTGGCCACATAAATTTAAAATTGCCCCTAGCCCCTTTTTTTAGCCCTTTGGAGAATTGATTCATATTTGGCATGAAAAAGTTGTATATGCTTAATTCGATCTATTTTTTTGTTGCATTTATGTAGGAGATGAATTTTGAAACTAAAAAAGACTGATATATACATACATATATATATTGTATGTTCCTTACGTTTTTATACATACATACTGTAAAAGTGTTAGGGCTGTTAACTTATCTATTAACGATTTAACTATAGTTTAAAATAGATAAGTTTCCGGCCCTTAATATGCTTAATTTTTTAAATGACCCATCAAGTCGATTGTGTATGTTCTTGTAGTGTGATTGTACCAGCTGCTGGTGCGACTTCAAAAACTATTTGAAAATTTGATGATTGTACCAGGTGTCGTGAGTGGTGAAATTAGCTAAATTTTCTAACTAAAAAATATTTTGGCGGAAATTTCTTGCACTATAAGAGTCGGCCGCTGTGGTGTAGTGGTAAGCAGTGCGCGCTTCCACTCCGCAACGATTGGGTTCAAGCCCTGGTCAAAGCAACATCGCAAAAAAATATAGAAAAAGGTTTTTTCTTAACAGCGGTCGTCCCTCGGCAGGCAATGGCAAACCTCGGAGCATATTTCTGCCATGAAAAACAGCTTCTCATAAAAATACAATCGCCGTTCGCAGTCGGCGTAAAACTGTAGGTCCTTCCGCTTTGTGTGACAACATCAAGGCGCACGCCACAAATCGGAGGAGAAGCTCGGCCAAACACTAACATATGTGTAAGCGCCAATCTATTATTATTATATGAGTCAAAGCCGTGTTTGTGGAAGATTAACAGTTGCAGCTGTAAATTAAAAAAACAAATTTGTAAAGAAATGAATATTGTACCAGCATGCTGGCAAGTTATATGCTTCGAGCCTGATGGCTTGATGGTTCACTTGATGGAGCCAGCAAGCTGGCTTTTATACAAAAAAGTTTTTGGTTGGATAAAATATTAGCTTCTTTCCAGAGTTCATTGTTTTCCTATACCATTGCTTATTGAAAATGTTTGCGTGTGCACTTGTATATATATGTATATGTAAGTAAAAAAATTTAGCCACCATTTTTAGCCACAACGACTTTTTAAGCTCTTTTTTAGCCCTTTTTTTAAAGGAATTTGGCTACCACTAAAAATGATTCGCGGCAGCACTGCTTCTGATATCAAATTGAAAAATTTTGTTTGAATTTCTACACACACTTACAGATTTTGACAGTTTATGCCGCCAAAGCAAAAACAAAATACATGTAAATTTTTGTTTTTGTACTCCTGCTATCACCTTATATTGATTCGCCTTGGCACAAACAAAAGTAAAATGAGTGGAAATCATAATATTAATGATGTACTGGACAGTGTAAGTGCTTGTGTGTAAAGCAAAGAGTTTAAAACTGATTTATAAATAGTAAAATGTTTACAGCAGATTGTCAAAGCAGTGCAACAACTGTTCTCTTGCAAGTTTTTGCTAGTTTTTAGTCTGTTCCAATAGCAGTCCGGTTTACAGGATTTAGTCAGAACTTACAGGAAGTCGTTCCTATTGACATAAAACCTGTAAGTGGGAACACATTTGAGAGAGTAACTGAGCAACTGTTCCTAGTCAGAAGTTACAGGATTTAGTCCCGAGTTTTTTTTCCTGTAAGTTCATGAAAAGTGTCAAACGATCAGCTGATTTACATGTGCAAACAAAAACAGAAAGCGGTGAAAGCAAAGAACCTTATATATTTGTTTAAAAATGGAAGTAAACAACGAAATATTTGAATATGTATAGATTTTAATAATTATTTAGTGATATTTCAGCCAAATCAGTGTAGTACCAATGACGTGTAAACAAACCGTCTGACGTTTTTACAGGAAATAGTGCTTTTTGCGTTCCTATGCACTTCTGCATCTGTTCTCCTTTTACTCTCATTTGAGAGCGTAAAATTGTAGTTTGACAGTTCCACAGGTTTTAGTCCGAAGTTCAAAGGAACAGACTATTTGTGTTCAATAACCTCTTCTGCTAGTTTTCTCTTCTTCTCAATTTTACGCTCTCGCTGCAATGTTTTACTGGAAAAGTTACTACACAAACCTAATGTTACTCGCATATTTTCGAGCCTGTATGTAAGTTTTCGGGAAAAAGGTTAAAAAGTATATTCATCTGCTGAAAAGATATTTTCGCAGATTCACAATTTATTTAAAATAAATCTATCAGCCCTATCTCCAATTCCATGTGAATAAATCTCTCCAGTGCTCAAATAATTTTCACCACATTAAATACCTGCACAACACCCTAATTGCCGAAAAAGCGTTGCTTGCAACACTAGTCCTTTATGGGGACCAAACTTGGTAAAAAACAATAGCTAAGTTTGTTTACTGGATATACTGAGATTGCAAAATTAACAAAAATCTTGCAAGTTAGACAAACAGCCGACACCGTTTAGTAAACTAACTGAATAATTTCTTATTTCTTACAAGTTTAACTAGTCTTATTTTATCATTTTTAACATCCAAACCATAAAAAAATTATAAAATTCAATTTGTGATTTGCGTAAATTCCAACTAGCTGTTTTTGATCAGCGGTTTTCTTGCTGACAATCTGGTGCTAGCAAAAGTTTTTTCAAGCGAAACTAGCAGCTTCTCGTCAAAATGAAATTTCAGTGTGGTCTCTCAATTTCCTCTTCTTCGCTGGACCTTTGTGTACGCGAACGGCAAAACCCGATAGGTTTTGATAGTTCTTGAATAAACCAATTATTATTTGGTTTGTTTTGCGGTTTTGGAAATTTCTTCCTATCTTTTTCATGTATGACTCGATTTCAAAGTGTTATATATCGTTGAGAAGACTTAGCTGCTGAAAGCATGTTCAAAATGGAATTTCTTCCGCAAAATATTCTGGATAAAGAAAACACAACAATATCAAGAGAACCAAGTTATGACAATTTTTGTACTTTTCTTTTTGGGTCGCGACTTACCGTTTGAAAATCACTGCTCTGTATGATTAAACGTGCGATAGGCAAACACATTTCTACCAAAACTTATAGGGTCCAAACTCATAATAAATTTAAATGCTTAAGTAAATTGGGGTACTGTTTGCGTATTTGTACAACGATTTTGGGGTGCTGTGCACAAACGCGTAATTCGGTTCAAAAAACTTTTACACACACTTGTAGACAACAGTTCACGTTTTATTTCAAAAATAAAATTTACTATGGCTGCGTTTCTTTATACATTCCGGATAAACCCATTTCACAACCAGAATAAACAGAATGCCATTGAAATATACGTTTACATATCATCAGGAACGTTCTAAAGAATAAGTAAACAAAAAAGTTTATTCCAAACGTTCAGAATGAATAAAGAAATACAGCCTATATCTGTACACTGATTTATTAATAATATCGGTTGGAAATATGGTATTTTTTGCAAATTTCCGAGCCAACCTGTCAAACAAAAAATATCTACGGATTATCTCTGCAAAAGGTGTTCAGCCCCTCTTCTTCAGCAACACGGAAAGGAGAATTCTACTGAGGGTTATAATCCCTAAGTGGGGCGGGGGTTGGGTGAATGGGTGTTTGGGGGTTTGGGTGCCCACGCTCCTCCCCTCCGCCCCACCCAAAATCGTTGTACAAATAAGCAAACATTTCCCGAAAATTGTATGAAATCGTAATCTTTTTATTTTTTATGAACAAGCCCAATAATATTTACCTGATTTTTGTAAGGTGTTAGCTCTAGTAGCGTTTGTAGAGGAGATTCACAATGCAAGTCTACGCCCACCTTGAGTTTTTTTAAGAATGTGCCTTTAAAATAAACTGGAGACTCGCATTTTGGAGAGGGTTGTAATTTAATTGAGCGGTCGTTGGTCCAGGCTAAAAGCCATATTAAGTCACAATTGCATACCAAGGGATTATTGGATATGTCCCTACAAAGATTTGATTAAAGCAAATAAAAAAATCTTAACTGTTATTGCAATTGTACTCACAGATGCTTTAAATTCGACATAAGCTCAAATGATCCAGAATATATGTGCCGTAATGCATTGTTACTCAATTTCAAGCGTTCCAGATTAGGTAAAGCATCTGCAAATGTGTCCTTATCAATTTTTCGTAACATATTTGATGACAAATCCAACCGCTTCAGTTGAGTTAAGTTATGAAAGTCCTCACTTTGAAGAATTGGAAATGCGTTGTTACTTAAATCACTGCAAAATGTCAGAGTATTCATTTAACTTTTTTATAAATTTGCATACATATTTATTTCTCTTACAGCGATACCACGAGTGCTGTAATATCAGTAAGCTGTACTTCTTTCCAGTCCGATACAGACATATTTTTAATCCCACCGCATTTTACTCGGATGTAAGAACTGTTCTCGGAAGTTGTTTTGCATTGACAAATGTCTGGACAATTAGTGACTACATTTGCCAAAAAACTTTGCAGCGGCCAAAGTATAATCCAAATACAGACCACCTTAAAAATCATTATTTTTGCAGGAAGCAATTTGTCTTCTCAGCGGCATTACCCAAAACTTGTGTACAAGTTTCACGCTTTTGATGAAGAACGCATATTTTTGTATTGTTCAAACACACAACTTATTTTTGTTTTCGTTTCTGAACTGTTTTCTCTTTGAGACTGAGTCCTATTTTTTACCTCACACCATTTGGTTAACGTAATTAAATAAAGTCACAGTATATACAGCATGATTCAATAATACAAGGCTCGATAAACTGACAGTTGTCTCTCTCGCACCGCTCCCTTAGCAGTGG